GTTAGTATAGACAGAATGGTTAGTATAGAATAATAGAAAACTTCCTGGCTCTAATAAGAGATTTAGACATCTAGATACAGGAGGCTCAGAGATCCCCCCCAACAGACATTCAAAAAGGTCTTCTCCATGGCACATTATAGTCAAACTCTTTAAAGTCAAAGACAAAGAGAGAATTCTAAAGACAGCAAGAAAAAAACTGTCTAGTCATCTATAAAGGAACCCCCATCAAACTAACAGCAAATTTCCTAGCAGAAACCTTATAGTCCAGGAGAGAATATGGTGATATATTCAAAGAACTAGGGGAAAAATCTGTCCATAAAGGATACTATACCCAGCAAAATTATTCTTCATAAATGAAGGAAAAATAAAACTCTTTACCAGACAAGCAAAAGCTGAGAAAATTCATCATCACTAGACCAGCCCTACAAGAAATGCTCAAGGGAGTCCTAAACCTGGAAGCAAAAGGACATTTTCCATCACAAAAATGCATGAAAGTATAAAATTCATTTATAAAGGAAACATGAAAATGAGGAAGAGAAAGGACTTACATGGTATCACTACAGAAAGTCACCAAACCACAATGACAGAGAGAAAGAGAGAAGGGAGCAAAGAATATACACAGCAACCAGGAAACAATACCAATTTGTTTCAAAATTGCTACAAAACCTCACATATCAATAATAACCTTGAATGCAAATGGATTAAATTCTCCACTTAATACAGATTGGCTGAATGGATTAAAAAAAAAAAACATCCAACTATATGCTGCCTACAAGAAATGTACTAAATCTGTAAAGACACATAGACTGAAAGTAAAGGGATGGAAAAAGATATTCCATGCAAAAGCAAGCAGGAGTAGCTATACTTATACAGATAAAGCAGATTTTAAGTCAAAAACAGTACCAAAAAAAAGGCAAATAAAGTCATTATATAATAATACAAGGATCAATCCAGCAAGAGAATCTAACAATTCTAATTCAATAAATGGTGCTGGGAAAACTGGATACTCATATGCAGAAGAATTAAACTAGACCCCTATTTCTCACCATATACAAAAATCAGCTCAAGATGGATTAAAGACTTAAATGTAAGACCTGAATCTATAAAACTACTAGAAGAAAACACAGGGACCTCTTCAGGACATTGGTCTAGGCAAAGATTTTATGGCTAAGACCACAAAAACACAGACGACAAAACCAAAAATAGACAAATGGGACTATATTAAACTAAAAAGGCTTCTGGCCAGCTAAAGAAACAGTCAATAGAGTGAAGAGACAACCTGTAAGTGGAATAAAATATTCGCAAACTATTCATCCAAGAAACTAATATCCAGAATATATATAAGGAACTCAAACAACTCAACAGTAAATAATGATAATAATAGTAATTTCATTTAAAAAGAGGCAAATAACATGAATAGACATTTCTCAAAAGAAAACATACAAATGGCCAACACATATATGAAAAGATGCTCAACAACACTAATCATCAGGAAAATGCAAATCAAAACCCCACAATGAGATATCATCTTACGCCAGTTAGAATGGCTATTATCAAAAAGACAAAAAATAGCAGACATTGGCAAGGATGTGATGAAAAGGGAACTCTTATACACTGTTGGTAGGAATGTAAATTAGCACAGCCATTATGAAAAACAGTATGGTGATTTCTCCAAAAACTAAAAACAGAATTACCATATGATCCAGCAATCCCACTACAGGGTATTTATCCAAAGAAAAAAAATCAATATATCAAAGGGATACCCATACTCTCATGTTTATTACAGCATTATTCATAATAGCAAAAATATGGAATCAACTTAAGTGTCCATCAACAGATGAATAAATAAAGAAAATGTGGTGTATATACACAGTGGAATACTACTTGGCCATAGAAAGAATGAAATCCTGTCATTTGCAGCAACATGGATAAAACTGGAGATCATTGTGTTAAGTGAAATAACCAGGCAAGAAAGGCAAATATTGCATGTTCTCAATTATATGTGGGAGCTAAAATTGTTGATCACACATAGAGGTAGAGTGGAATGACAGACACCAGATACTGGGAAGGGTATATGCAGTAGGGGAGGAAGATAGGTTGGTTAATGTGTACACACACACAGTTAGATAGAAGGAATAAGTTCTAATGTTTGATAGCAGAGTAGGGTGACTATCGTTCACAACAAGATAATATATTTTTTTAAATAGCTAGAAGAGAAGACTTGAAATGTAGCCAACACCTAGAAATGATAAATAGTCAGATGATGGATAGAAAGAAAGAAAGAAAGAAAGAAACTTACAATTGGTGTACTATTTCCGCCCTGCAAGTCTTTATTCTATTTTTGTCATAACTTTCATGTATGTGTGTTATAAGCCTCACAATAAAATGTTATATTTTATCAATGTGGGACCTTGCTTTTAAGATTTGTTAGATAAACCAAAACCTTCGTTTTTGGGTAGAGTACTCTCTCCTGTGTACTCTCCCCAGTGCCCTGACAATTGTGAGGTTTAACAGTTTGGCTGGTGGGAACAGGCACTATTCTCAGCCCTGTGCTGAGTGATGGGCACTGTTCAGTGCATGTGTGTGAAAAGATGACACTTTTGGTGGAAAAACCAACAGAAAGTGCGGGGAGTTAGCTATGATCCCAGCAAAAAATTGGGTCCCTTAGGTAGGGGTCATCACAAAGGATAAGAAAATAATAGAAAATGGAAAATAATAGAAATAAAAGAATACACAGAGACGAAGGTATAGTTTTATAGATTTATATAAAGAAAAAGCAAAGCAGGGGTACTTGAGGGTCCCCACAATATCCCCGTCCATTGTGAGGCCCAGAATAAAGTTTCACATGGGTATTTATAGGTACAGAGATCAGTTGCCAGGGATAACAGATTTACATAATAACAGGTAGTTTGTTTTAGGTTAAAAGTCTTTCAAAAGGCTTCTATATATCCCTTAATTAACTCTGGTTACAAAATCTTTCAAGGACAAACTTTTAAGGTCTAAGATAAAGCTATCACTTAACAGAAGGGTTAAACAGAGATATAGTGGCTCCATATTTCTTTATCTAGTTATTGCAGATAGAGACAGGTGATCAGAAGTCAAGCAGAAACTATCCCTTGGGCTAATTGTTTTTAGCCACAGGTGTCTGTCTCTCGGGCAGACATTCTTTGATCAACTCTCATCCCGTGGTTCCCTGCAGACCATGCTTTGTCCTTCAAAGCAGGCAAGAACCACGGGTTTGAGACCACAGTGTCATCTTGGAAAGCAGCTGCTACTGACCTTTGAGATGCCCTCCTGAGGCAGAGCAGCTTTTGATATGCAAACTAACGCGTTCACATATTCCTTCAGGGCAAAACCCTGCAAAACTCCTGAGATCATTTCTGTCTCTAATATAGTAATATTAATTTATGGAGCAACAAGAAAGGATTAGTAATAATAGAGGCTGGTGGAAAAACCAACAGAAAGGGTTAGTAATAATAGATCTACAACTCAAATAATGTCTGGGGGTAGATGTTGCTGAACTTCTTGGAACTGATGACATCAAGGACAAAAGGAATCGCTAGGATCGAACATGGAGTGTCACTTGGTGACAACTGGGAGGCATTTCTTGGTGGTTCATAGCACATGCCCAGCTGAGCATAGGCAGAAAAAGAATTTATAATTCCACAAATATCAGCTAGATCCTCTTAGAAGGGACGGTTTGCTTCACCTCCTTACTGCCCCTGCCTTACTCACAACAGAGAAACACCACAATATACTGCAAACTTGTATCTTGGAGTCAGACCGAGTTATTCACAAGGGCCGATGGGAACACAGACAATAGGGAAACTCAAGGCACAAAGCTGATGATCTTGATTTGAGCAGAATCTTAAGTCACCTCACCTGAGTTCAAGTGCTGGCCACGACACCTACTGAATGCGTGGTTCACCCCGTTTTTTTACCTCCCTGCGCGTTCGTTTTCTCGTCTCAAAAATGGAGACAGTAATAGGATCTACCTTATGGAGTTCTTGGGAAGAGTAAATGTGATGATGTTCGTCACCCAGGTGTCAACGAACTTCCATGGGAGGCCTCAGCCCTTTTCCTCTATGCCCACGTGGAGGCCAAACTCAACAATTCAACCTGTCATTAAAATAAGCCCACTTCATGACACAGTAACAACAACTACAGTTTGTTAAAGAATTCACAGGAGGCAGGGAGGGTACACACACTGAACACCACAAAACACAAACCTATGTCTCTGAAGGGTGGCATTTGAATGTAAAAAGCAGGAGTTCCAAAAACAGGCTGCAAGAGTTTGAAACAAGGTTCTGTCGCATTCTTATTGGGTGATACGTGAGTCTGCTCGGGCCGCCACCACGAAGTACCACAGATGAGTGGCTTAAACAACATAAATGTATTTTCTCACTATTCTAGAGGTTAGAAATCCTAGATCAAGTAATCAGCAGGGTTGGTTTATTCTGAGGCCTCTCTCCCCAGCTTGTAGATGGCACCTTCTCCCCGTGTCTTCACGTGGTCTTCCCCATGTACACGTCTATGTCTGAATCTCCCTCTTCTTCTAAGGACACAAGTCAGGTGGGATCAGGGCCTACCCTAACGACATCATTTTAACTTAATTACTTCTTTAAAGACCCTGTCTCCAAATACAGTCACATTCTGCAGCCCTGGGGGCTAGGGCTTCAACATATGCTTTTGGGGGACACAGTTCAGCCCCTAACAAATGATCCTGGGAAAGTTACCTAACATTTCTGGGCTCCCAGTTTCCTCTGTCGTAAAATGGGGATAATTCTGTTTACCTATAGGAGGATTGTGAGGAATAAATGTGAGAACACATGCAGTGCCCAGCACATGCTGAGCACTTACATGTTGTTTATTATTTGTAGGTTTCCCATTAGATAGCTGCGTTTTCTGTCTGCAGCCAGCCACCTCATCACCTCTTTCCCTTCCCTGTCCAACAAAACCCTCCTCCTGCCCAGTACAAGGCCTTTCTTCCTTTGTTGTAGGAGCCTCTGAGCAGAGCAATGGGAACGAGTGGCGTGTGCTACAGCCTGAGGGCCCCATGCTGGTGGCAGAAGGTGAGACACTCATATTGAGGTGTATGGTGGTCGGCTCCTGCATTGATGATATGATTAAATGGGTCAAGGTGAGCTCTCAGAACCAGCAAGAAATTTATAACTTCAAATGCGGCTTCTTCCCCGGGGTGGTGCCCATGATCCAACGGACGTCAGAGCCACTGAATTGCGATTACTCCATCTACATCCACAATGTCACCAAGGAGCATGCTGGAACTTACCACTGTGTGAGGTCTGATGGTTTGAGTGAACACTCAGAAACGAAGGCGGATGAGGGCACCTCGGTGCTTGTGAAGGGTGAGTATTAGGCCCTGCAGGGCACATACTCGCTCTGGTATGTCTCCCTGTGGCCGTCACCTTCATCTACAACCATGCTGTATCACACAAAACCTCAGCGGCACACAGCAGTATGTATGTATATCTCACATGCACATTTACATGTGGCTGGGGTGGGTCCACTCCCCATGCCTTGTGCCAGGGCCCAGGCCCGAGAGGTAGCAGCTACATGGGGCATGTTTTCTCTTGACGATGGCAGAAGCCCAGAGGGCCAGTCCCAACTCCCCAAGCACATCTCAAGCCACTGTACACATCATGTCTGCTAACAGCCCATTGGCTAAAGCAAATCACATGGCTCAGCTCCAAGTCAAGGGACAAGGAAGTTTGCTCTTCTACCATGAGGCCACAGGGAGGGTGTGGACATATCACATCACTGGAGTGGAGTCAAGACCTAGTGCTGACAGTGTGATCTACCCCACTCCCCAAGTAATCAGTCGTGGTATCTATAAGTCCACCAAGAATGACCCGGAGACCCAAATCCTGGGCCTGTCTTTCAATAGCGGTGTGTTCTTAAATGAGTCACTGTGGCTATATATACCTCAAGTGCTTAACTTATAAAATAGGCAACAAAATTTGTACTTCAAGGGTCATTCAGATGATTAAATAGGAGAACAGATGCTTATGAACCACCCCAAAACCTGGGGACATGGAGAGTGTCTGTGTGTGGGGGGGGTTCGTTTTAACTTGATGCCGGCATTTGGGGAAGGCTTCCTGGCACCTTCCAAGCTGTGATGTGCCTCCCCTGGAGTCCTGCAGTCCTCTGCGTTTCCAGCCTCTGGGCAATTTTCTCTCCAGCTGCATCATCAGACTGAGAGAGGTTTCAGGGCTGGGTATTTGCCTGTCTCGTGGGATTCATTTTCCCCATTCTGAGCATCGGTACATAGTAGGTACTCAGAACTCCTTTACTGAATGAATGAATCAACTAGTGAGTGATGAAAGAAAGCAGGAGGGAGTGGCAGAGTGAAGAAATTGAGAAAGGGGAAAGTGAGGGAAGATATGAGGGAGGGAATGAGTGGACAATGCAGGAATAGAAGGAATCCAACAAGGACCCTCCCTTTGGCTTCAGGAGCTGGGGACCCCAAGCCATACCTCTGGATCATCCAGCCCCAGGACTTGGTATTGGTGACCACTGGAGACACTGCCTTCCTCAACTGCACAGTGCTTGGAGATGGTCCCCCTGGACCCATCAGGTGGTTTCGGGGGGCTGGTCTGAGCCGGGAGGCCATTTACAACTTTGAAGGCATCTCCCAGCCCAACGTGACAGCAGTAAGAACCTCCAACAACGACTTCAGCATTCTTCTGGGAGGCATCTCTGCTGAGGATGCTGGCACCTATTACTATGTAAAGTTTCAGAGGAAACCCAATAGGCAATACCTCTCTGGACAGGGAACCATGCTGAGAGTGAAAGGTGAGACAGGTGATCTAGGTGGTGTCAGGGGAGAGGAGCAGGTGGTCCCCAAGGAAATTTTCACCATGTTTCATACAAGCCAGTTCTTCTCAGCTTCCATGTCTTTAGATAAGCTGTTCCCTCTACCTGAAATGCTTTCTCCTTTTCTCTGAGAACTCCTACTCATCCTTCAAGACCCAACACAAATGGCCCCTCCTCTTTGAAGCTTTCTCCTCCTCTCAGGCAGAGTTAATTTCTCCCCATTTGGGGCTCTACAGAACTTTTAATAGACCATTAATAATTCAATAAACATCTACTGCGTGCTAGTTGAGTGTCCTGCACTGTACTAGGTGCTGGAGACACTGCAATGAATCAGACATTATCCCTACCCCAGAGATGCTCCAGCAGGTCTAAGTTCATACACCATAGATGCAAGGTTTAACTTCTAGCCCCCACCCAGGTAGAACTGGCAGACTCATCTCAGTGTTCCCAGCTCCTGGCATAGGGGCTTAGGAAGTGACAGAAGAGAATGATGAAAGGCAATGTGAGAAAGCTTCTCTCTCTTGCAGCAAAACCCACCTTTCCCCAAGAGGCAGAATTCTCCAGTGAACATGTAGCCAGGATATCTCCAACAGGTGAGTGCACCTACCTCAAAGGAGTTAATGAGTCCCTCACAGGCAAGGGGAGGGGGGCATGGATGGCTTTGTCATGAGAAGGGAGCAGTCCCAGACTTCTGGGGCTCACCTGCCACCGAGAAAGTCCCCAGGACTCCATCTCAACTGCAGAACCAGGAACAGCTCAGTCAAGAAAAGACTTCCTAACAGCTAGCACCGCCCCATTGATCAGTGGGCAGTGTTACTTGAGAGATAGTGAGTTCTCCATGATTCAGAGTGTGGGGACACACTGAAGCCATGCACAACAGTGCCAGAGAACATGGCTCTGTCACCAGGCCTCCTGGACGGGGGCCCTTTCTGGCTGTGTGATCATGGGCAGGACACCTCACTCCTTGCATCTCTGGCATCTGACTCTATGAACTGGGCAGGGATGGGGGTATGAATCAGAGAGCCTCCCTCCTGGGGTTGGGCATGGATCCAATGAGATCATACACATCAAGTGTCCAGAACTGTGCCTGGCACATCACCTGGTAACGTTTGGTGGCACCCAATAACTGGCGGGAGCTTGTGATCAGGGGGTCGGATTAGCCTTCCTGAGGCCCAGCACTGTCCCTGCCATGCATGGGAGCCAGACCACCTGGGGCCCTTCACTTCTTTGACACGTGGCCCTGGGCCACACACATTCTGGGTCTGTGTTCTTACCTACAGAAATTGGATCATTAGCCTACATTGTAGGATTACTTTGAGGATTATATAAGGCAACGAGGAAGAGCTTGGCTCGGGGTCTGAGACAGACAACACAGGAGAGCAGGTTTCTATCATTGTATCAGAGGTTAGGGATGCTGTTGAGATGTTCACAGGTACAGAGAGGATATGGGGCAAGGCTTATTTGGGCCCAGGGCAGAGGGAAAGGTGGTCCTTGATCTCCTCTCCCAAGGTAGAAAGGACATGGTAGAGGTTATACAGCAGCCAGGTCCGCTCTTGCCCGTGGCTACTGAGGTGTGGGCCATGGGGCGCCCACCGGAGGTCCTTCCTGAGCTCTCCCCTGTGTCCCCCAGGCCTCCTGTCTGTGCTCACACCTGTGGTCCTGGGGCTGAAGGCAGTGACCTTGGCTGCACTCCTACTGGCCCTGGCTACCTGCTGGAGAAGCTCTGAGCAAGAAGACTTCAAGACCCTGGGCCTAGCAGAGCCTCCCGTCTTAGCATGGAGCAAGGGGCAAGGGTGAGGGTCAGTCCCACTGTGGATCCTCCGGGCTCCTTGACCATTTCTCATCCTCTGGATGCTCCCTAGGCCTCATGACAAACTCCTAGATCCCTACATCTGATGTCGGTTCACCTAGAGAAATTCCCCTCTTTGCACTGGGCTCCCCTCCATGTGTCTCCTCTCTGCTCTCATCCTGTTCATCCCTCATTGTCCTTCAGGCCCTGGCTCGGGTCTCTCCACTATCCCCTTGCCCATGCTGCAGCCCCATCTGGGGTGTCCTCGCCTTTTCTCCACCTCGCCACGTCTTTCATGTCCTTCAAATATCGAACTCCAAGTCTTCTTCCCAGAAGGTGTCCCTGAGCATCTCTGAGCTCAACCAGCCAGACCACCTGTGAGCCTCCATTTACACTCTTCTCTCCCACTTCCTGCTTTCTTTCCTTCCGCCTGTGCCTGGCTGGGTGAGGGTAAGATTTAGAATGCAGGTCTGGCAGCTGTAACAAAGCTCTTTTTTTTTTTTTTTTTTTGAGACAGAGTCTCGCTTTGTTGCCCGGGCTAGAGTGCCGGGCTGTCAGCCTAGCTCACAGCAACCTCAAACTCCTGGGCTCAAGCAATCCTTCTGCCTCAGCCTCCCAAGTAGCTGGGACTACAGGCATGTGCCACCATGCCCAGCTAATTTTTTCTATATATATATTTTTTTAGTTGTCCAGATCATTTCTTTCTATTTTTTTTTTTAGTAGAGACAGGGGTCTCGCTCTTGCTCAGGCTGGTCTCTAACTCCTGACCTTGAGCAATCCACCTGCCTCGGCCTCCCAGAGTGCTAGGATTACAAGCGTGAGCCACCACGCCCAGCCTGTAACAAAGCTCTTAAGTAACAGTGGCTTAAACCAGAAAAAAGGTGATTTCTCTAGTAACATCCAGCCACAAGCAAGCCAGGCAATACCGGGGCTCCCTGGTTTTGAGACTAGGGATTGCTTGATCTTGTTACCAGGTCCACATTCCAGGCAGCCAGGCTGGGGAAGAAGTTGGAGGAAAGGAGCATGATCCTCCCTTTTAAGGGCACAGTCAGGAACTGTCCCACCTCACTTACCTTTAATTAGCTGGAATGTGGTCACATGTCACACCCAGTGGCAAAAAATCCTGAGAAATGTAGTCTTTATTCTGGCAGCAATGTGCCCTGCTGAACTGGAGGGTGGATATCAGGAAATAACCAGTAATCTTTGCCACAGTGGCATAAAGGCAGCCTCCTATTTGTTCTGTAGAACAATGAAGTTTAATTCCCAGCGCCTCTTCCCACCACCACCTCCACCAGGGCAGCATTAATGTGGGGCAGCAGTTCTCAAGAAGAGTCATTTTGCCCCCACAGAACTTTTGGCAATGCGAGAGACATTTTTGGTTGTCACAATTTGGGGGATGCTACCACCATCTAGTGGGTAGAGGCCACGGGAGCTGCCAAACGTTGTTGTTTCTCTACAACAAAGAATTACGTAACGCAAAGCGTCAGCAGTGCAGAGGTGGAAAAGCCCTGATGTAGGGGAACGTTTGCGTGCCCGGGAGTCAGACACGCTTGACGTCTAACCCCGAAGCCTCCGCTTCCTCACTGGGTGCCCTTAGTGACTAATCAGTCACTTCACCTCAAGAAACATTGAGGATGTCTCTGCCTTGTATAAGAACCAATCCAATTCCACATTTCCTGAGGGCCTACTATGTGCTGTGTGCACCGTGAACACTTAATACATGTGAATTCCCTTTTCTCTTTCCATGCAAACATGTATGAGCACCTACCGTGGTGGGAAGTGGATTAGTCTGGTATTGTTTTTCATTGTAACAAACAAACAGCTTGAACTAAACCAAAAAGGACATCAATTTACTCTGAGAATTGAATAAATCACTGAATTAGCAGACATTAGAGAGAGTAGGTAAGGTGCCCCCCAAAGATATCCGTGCCCTAATCTCTAGGACCTGTGAATGTTACCTTACATGGGGGAAAATAAAGGACTTTGCGGGTGTGATTAAATTAAGATTTTTGAGATGGGAAGTTTTCCTGGATTATCTAGGTGGGCCCTGAAAGAGATCACAAGTGTCCCTGTAAAAGAGAGACAGAGGGAGAGTTGATGTAGAAGAAGAGGGGGAAGCAAAGTGACCACAAAGGCAGAGACTAGAGTGCCATGACCACAAGTTAAGGAATGCCGGCAGCCAACAGAAGCTGAAAGAAGCAAGGAATGGATTCTCCCCCGAGAGCCTCTGGAGGGAGCATGGCCCTGCCAACACCTTGATGTCAGACTTCCGGCCTCCAGGACTATGAGAGAATAAATTTGTGTTGTTTTAAACCACTAAGTTTGTGGTCATTTGTTGCCTCCAGAAACCAGACATAGGAATTGGCCAGCACAGTCCTGCAGGCCAAGGAGAGACAGGGTGGGGCAGTGGTTAAGAACATAGACTGGGGAGCTGTGCAATATCTAGGTTCAAACTCATTTAGGAGTCTAGATTTCCCCATCTATAAAATGGAAATGACAATACTTCATAGGGTTTTCATGAGGACGAATGAGTTGGTGTATTTAAGGTTCTTTTTAGAGTGTCTGGGGCATAGTAAGTGCTGCCAGGTTGTGTTATGGGGAAGGATGCCCCCAAGGCCTCTGGAGGAGGGGCCAGGGATCCCTTAGTCTAAGAAAGGGCTTTCCCCAGTGGCACAAAAGTGAAGAGGGGATGACAATGAGATTCAAAAACTCAAATATCAGCCAAGGAACTGAATCTTGGGGAGCCAATCACCCCCAGATCTTTGAGCCAGGGTAAATGGTCGTCAGTTTCCAGGGTGGAAAGACCTTGCTGGCAACCAAGTGTGAGCACAGTCCAGAGTGAGTCTCCACCCCCTGGACTTTCTGGAAAGTTGGGGGGCATTTCAGGTTGACACAGCAATGAAGGGGGCAGGGACTGGGGACCGAGCTGGTGCCGGGTGGCCTTGCAATGGAAAGGAGAGTCTCACACGACAAAGAACACCTCCTCCTTTCACACGTCCTGCCAGGACCTAGTGCAGCTGCACACTTGCTCCTAATAACCCAGACCTAGACCCTAGCCCATTTGACATACATATTTAAAGTTTTTTTTTTACATGGTTTTAATATACATCAAATTTTCCAGGCAAACTACTGTGTCAATTGAGGGAAGGTTGGACTTTGTGTTGTTCATATCTTTATCAAGAGGGGTTCTGACTGAACCTGAGACCTGAAGGATGAGCAGGAGCTGACAAAGGGAAGAGGAAGGGAAGTATCTCAGGCAGGGCAGCAGGAGGCGAGAGGGCAAAGAAGCTGAGGGACCTAAAAGACAGGATTGTGTCTGACAAGGTGCGCCTGGAGCAGAGGCCTGATGAAAGTTGAGAGGTCAGTGAGGGGAAGGTGTTCCAGACAAAGGGAACAGCCAAAACAAAGGCCCTGAGGCAAATGCATGCCTGACACATTCCAGGACCTGCAAGAAGGGCAAGGTGCCTGGAGCAGAGGAAGCGAGCGGGATCCATAGGAGATGAGAGGGAGCAGCTGGCCCATTTCATGTGGGCCTTGCAGGACGTGAGATTGTCTTTTATGCAGGGCGAGATGGAGAAGCAGGGCAGGGTTGTGAACAGAGTGTCATGTTCACCGGCTGGTTCCCCGTCCCCGCCCCCCGCCGCCCCTTTATAATGTAAGCAGCAAGAGGGCAGGGGCTTTTGCTGCCATATCCACAGCCTTGGAAGAGCATCGGGCCATAGATAGCTCTCAGTAAATGTTTGAATAAGGACGTGAATGAACGAATGAATAACTTAATGAAATGAGGGGATGAGTCAGTGAATAATTGCGACTCTGACTCCTTCAGGGATCCTTGATCCCACGTGTAAGACCCGCGGCGCCTCCCATCCTCCGCTCGGCTTCCACCCGCGCGGTTAGGCTGCGGTCTGAGCCGCGGCCGCCAGAGGGGGCGCGGAGCGGTGGGGTTTCCCGCACGGAGGGCTTTGAGTGAGGCACCGCGTGGGGCGGGGCCTGCGGGCGGACTCCCACCGGCTGAGCCGGATTGACCCGCCAGCCGAACGCGGCAACCGGAGCGGTTTTGGAAGCGCACAGGGCGAAGATGGCGGCGGAGCGACAGGAGGCGCTGAGGGAGTTCGTGGCGGTGACAGACGCCGAGGAGGACCGGGCCCGCTTCTTCCTTGAGTCGGCCGGCTGGGACCTACAGGTAGTACCGCGAGGCGGGCTGCATCGGGTGGACCGGGGACTGCGGAGCGCGGACGTCCAGCGCACTAAGCCCGCGGTGGCCGAAGCGCACAGTCATCCCCGCCCGGCCGCTGCCCGACCCAGGCCTCATGGTCCTGGGTCCGCTTGTCACGCGTTGCCCTCTCGGCTGGGGAGTAGAGGAACGCGGACCAGCCCCAGCCTGCTCTGCCGTGCCTCAGTTTCTCCCTCTGCCTCGCTTGCTCACGGCGTCAGCAAGATTTTGGGCACTGCCGCAGCCGGCGTGAAGAGAGGGTATCTGGGGGCGTGGCTGCCGCGCCGAGAGTCTTCTGGAGCCGAGCTGGTCCGAATGACCAGCTCTTGGGTGAAGCAGCGCTCCGGACCAGGTGGTCAATCGTTTCCATTTCCGAAGCCCGGCAGCCAGTGGAGGGAGGAGCCGGCCCGGGAGTTGGCCCACGCCCCCTCCTATCTGATTGCTGGGGGAAACTACCACTGATGTGGTGGCGCAAGGTTGGAGCCTCTTCACCTTTCTTAGTTAATGTATCTGTAAAATGGGAATCTCATGAAATTGCTTTCTGGTCCACTGTCATGTGCTAAATATTCACGAAGTACTTGCTGATTAATTAAGAAGACTTAAGATAAGCTTCACGAGGCAGGGATTTTTGTACACTGATGAATCGCCACTGCCTGCCCTAGAACAGTACTTGGTACATAATAAGCACTCAGTAATTAACTGTAGGAAGAATTGCATAAATGTTCTTGGCCAGCCTACGTATTGGGTCGATGATGATGATGACGACTAATATTTATTGAGTACTTACCATGAGCCAGGTGCTTTACATGTTTTATGTTATTTAACCTTAGCAGTTTGCAGCCGAGATTTAGGGAGGTTAAGTAATTTGTTCAAGGCGTCACTAACTGCCAAGCAGAAGAGATAGGATTAAGAGCTCAGTTCTCTTTAATTTTAAGCAAACAGAGCCCAAGCTTTTACTACCATCCTGGCAACACCGTGAGGTAAAGACTAGCCCCATTTTATGGATAAGGAAATCGGAAGCTCAGAGGGCAAGGGATGTGCCCAAGTTCACATAGCCTGTAAGTATCTCAATAGGGATTTGAACTGGGTCTGGTGCCAAACGTAAATTGCTTCCCAGACATAAGAAAATTAGTAAAGCATCATACCTGTGCAGACACAGTGTGAAGTC